GGTGTGCATATACCTGTGTATGTGAGAGCAGTGCTGAGCCCCACAGCCACTTCTGTGACTGCAGCATGGCTGGCTTCACGGTGCTGATGAGCCCATCCCTGCCCCATGTGGACCCCGGAGCGCGGAGCATCCTTTCGCTGAGTCATGCTGACTGTGCACCAAAACCGGCCGCAAATCAGCGAAGTCAGTACCGCCCACGTACAGATCCTAAAGCCAGTACATTAAAGCCTGAGCCCATCACGGAGCTCCTTAACTCTCTCCTCCTCCACCTGCATTTGCTGCACCAGGGGCTGGAGGCATTGGCCAGGCCCCTGTCCGAAGCTCAGAGCATGGGCAGCTTCCATCTTCAGGTCCTTCCTCTTCCTCTACCATATCCCACGGTCACTTCCTCTCGAGTGTGTTTCAGGTCCTCCCTCGAGCGGCCCCAGAGTCTCTCGGCTCGTCTGCTGTTCCAGCTCCTGGCTTCTTCCCGCCACCTTTCCCCAGCCTGCAGTGCACCCCGATGCAGTAGGCAGATTTCTGGAAAACACCTGTCTGCTTAAAAACCACACGCGCTGCCCCCTCGCCCCCAGCTGCTCACAGTCCTTGTAGGATTGGACCCTCTGGCTCCCCCTCATCCACCATCCTTGCTTTGCTTTTCTTCACCCCTGTCCTCCCCAGGCTGTGCCCCCAACCCTGTGCCCCGGCACGCACATTCACATCAGCTGCCTGGCAGAACCCCGCTGGCCTCGGGGGGCCGTCTGCACCCAGGGACACACACTGAACGCTGCGGTGACTGCTCAGCGGCTGCTGCAGGAGCCCGTTCCCCGGGGCTCAACAGTCTCTCCCCTGTCCCCGGCCGCCCAGACACTGCACAGCGGTGCAGGCAGGGCCTCTGTCTCCTGCTCTTTCCACCCTCACACTGTGCTGGAGTTATAATAGGCACTCCATACAAGAGTGAATAAATGATTAAAAACCACTTTGCTTTAATAGAGCTAATTTAATGTGCAGTGATTATAATTGGTTCTCTCTCCTCATTTTGACACAACAATTTCATATCTGTGCTAAGTTTGAGCTGTTTCTTTAATCGTAGGAGGAATTCCCTGTGTTTTAAAGCAGAGAGGCCACACAGAGCAGGTCCCTGGCTCCTTGAAGGCAGCTACTTGGCTTTCCCTGGCTGCACGGGGCTCAGACCCTCAGCTACGCAGACTAAAGCTGCAGCTCTGACACTGTTTAAAAACGCAGCTGGGGAAGCCTTCTCACTGCCATGCAGGTGGGGTGTGCTGTGATGTCAGCGTGCACCATGCAGGGGGGGCGCATCCTGGGTGCACGCCTGGTCAGGTGACCACAGAAGACGCATTCACTGCCAAGACGCTGCGGCTGGCTTCAGGGAAGCCTGGGGCGCGTGTGCTCCATGGAGACCGGCACAACGGGAAGAGGAGCTAAGTCTGCTGGCCACAGTGCAGAGGGGACTGCGCGCAGCCCTGGCGGTTCCCCCCTACCGATGCCATGAGGCTCGCTCAGCTTTCTCGTGGCTGGGGCAGAGTATGAGGTTCGGGACATTAGCAGAACATGAGATGCGGGGTAGGGTTGAGAAAGGGACCTGTTATCATGGAGAAAAGGCTGGTGCCAGATCCCCCAACCTGCTCCACCCTGGAAACCTGATCACCATACCCAGGGCCGGATACCCGACTTGCAATGCCCAGTATCAATGGAACTGTGTGCTGAGACCTGCTGAGCTCTGTAGGTTTTGTTTCCAAGAGGTGGGGGTGGGAGTGATATGGCAGCAAGCAATGACCTTGAAGCAAATTACCTACGACATTTATGAAAGTACAGTCTGCAAAGGTACTCTGTGGGGACCATGGTTCCAGAACCCCCGGGCTGTTTGCACACCAGTGGATGGTTCCAACTTGTCACCATCTGATTAGATCCCAGAGCCTGGGACAGAGCCTGCTCCAGCGTCACCCCTGATGACACAAATGCCTATTTATGGACAGGGCAGGGAGCCTCCGCTGGGGCCGGGCTTTCAGTCAGTCGTCAGGCGGGGGAGTACTGGCTGCTGACAGGCACACACAGAGTGACTCCCTCCACGGTATGTATGTATGTATGTATTTATTTATTTTATTTTATTTTTGACAGGCAGAGTGGACAGTGAAAGAGAGAGAAAGAGACAGAGAGAAAGGTCTTCCTTTTGCCGTTGGTTCACCCTCCAATGGCTGCCGCGGCCGGCGCACTGCGCTGATCTGAAGCCAGGAGCCAGGTGCTTCCCCTGGTCTCCCATGTGGGTGCAGGGCCCAAGCACTTGAGCCAACCTCCACTGCACTCCCGGGCCACAGCAGAGGGCTGGCCTGGAAGAGGGGCAACCGGGACAGAATCCGGTACCCCGACCGGGACTAGAACCCGGTGTGCTGGCGCCGCAGGCAGAGGATTAGCCTAGTGAGCCGCGGCGCTGGCCCTCCACGGTAGGTTTTCTGGCCGCCCCACCAGGACCAGGGCTTCCAGTGGCCTAAGTATGAAAATATCCACGCCGAAGATGCAAACAGAGATTAACATTTCAAAGGGCAGTATAAAGAGATGGATGGCCCCTGAAAGGCTGCAAGTCCTGGGGGGCTCCCGTCTAACATGCTGCTTGTTCATCTTTAGACTTGGTGGAATCTTCCTCTGTTGGCAACACTGCCTGTCCTTACCCATCTTCCCCTGCCCCTTGTGATTCTCTGAGTCCTTTTCCAGGTCTATTTTTCCCATTTTTCTTATTCGTGCTTTTGCTCTTTCTCTATCTCTTCTTCCACATGTTTTTCTTCTTTTCTCTACAGTTTTCCTTTCCTTATCCTACTCCCCCTCCTTCCAACAATGGGACAAAGAAACTCCAAGGCAATTTCAACAAGTTCATGGAAAAATGGAATTGACATGCAAGTTTATTTTGGTATGAAAACTCTGGAAATCCACACAGTTTGTTCATAATGCACGTTTTCTTGAGCTTCAAGACGACTCCTTATATGTGTGGATCTCACAATTTATTTGCATTGAAGTAATCTTTTAATTCCATCTTCCATGAATGTTTTGCAGTATTCTCATATTTTAAAAGTGTCTTTAATGTATTAAATAAAGTTGCTTTTAATCAAGCAGATAAACATCTCTCAAGGTCTTGCTTGCTTTTAAGAAAGTGACTGCATTGATTTTTCTGAGGTGGTCGATTACCGTCTCACAATGGACACAACTACGCCTCGTCCTTGTCCTAGAAGGTGAAGGGGGTACCTGGTCCCCATTCAGCGGTTTGCTTAGCCAGCAGCAGCAGCTGGACTCTTAGGGTGAAAGGAGGAGAGCTACTCAGCACCTGCGTGCAAGACCCAGAAGAAGCTCCAGGCTCCTGGCTTCGGACTGGCACAGCTCCGGCCGTTGTGCCCAGCTGGGGAATGAACCAGTGGATGGAAGACCTCTCTCTCTGCAACTCTGCCTTTCAAATAAATAAATAAATCATTTTTTTAAAGAACTGTTAGACTCACAGGTTGTGTGCAACACTACCTGGTTTCGTTTGCTGCTCCACTAAAGACTCAGTTCACTGGGAAGGATGCTAGACTCCAAGCCACTGATCTGTCACCCAGGGAACCCGTGGGCCATTTGGACTCATGACTGTAGACACAGAGGCTAGAACGAGACGGGGCGTTTCTGCGGAGCAGAGATCAGCCGGCGCTGTCCATAGTTCTGCTCCGTGTGTTCGCGACACAGCCTCCTTTGTCAGTGCACTGGTCACCTCACTATTTCCCCCATGTCTGGGGAGAGCACCTCCCTTGGCTTTGAGATACGTTCATTCTCTGAGAAGCAGTTTTGGGTTTCTCCAAGCAAGCGGTAAATCCTCTGAACGTATTTCAGCCACCAAAACTAGACGTGGAAAAGCAAGACGGAGCAGAGAGCAGGGTAGGAGATGGTACAGAACACGACAGGAGAGAGCAGTGTGAGTACCGAAGGGGGTTGTTTTTATCTATTCCCTTATCTACTCCCTGTGAGCCACTGTGCTGGGTGAGGTCAGCATGCAGTCAGGACTTGCGTGAAATTACAGAGGTTTGAGTTTAGGAATTAAAGGAATGCAACGCATAGAACTTGGGGAGGGAAAAGTACTGAGGAAAAAGGTCCATTGACTTTACGGAGAGATGCTTGAATTCAGTAGTCTCCCGATTTGACAGGAGGAGGGGGAACGCATACAGTTACATGTCGGCATGATGAATGGTTAATTCCACAGACCAAGTTCAATAAGGTGTTCACAGCCCTGATGATAACGAAGAAGTCAGCATTTGCAAACCTCCCATAACTGTACCCGTGAAATCCAGCACCAGGAGCAGTGTGGACAGTCCAAGGGAGCGATCTGCATTGTCTGTTTAGTCCTTGTCTGTGCAGTCTTTCATATTCAACCGTCAACAGAGGAAATTGCATTTCTCATTTGTAGGAGGATTTAGTATAATTAAATCCCCTTTCCTATTAAAAATGCATTGTGCGTCCTGTTTATTTAGCTTAAGGGCTTAGAGCATTATAACACTGATTCAGAACGTAAATCTGATCACAAGCTCCTTATATCTCAAGCACTCATTTTTTAATAGTTCTGTTTGAAATTTCCCGACTACACCTGGAAGGTTTAACAATAGATCATCATTCTTTTCTCCTTTTAGATCATCTGGCTCATGGGACATCCACACAGAAAGCCCGACTTATCCTAAACCCCCTAAAGTTCAGATAGAAACGATGTGGGCCCCAGCCCTCGCTGTGTTGCTACAAATAAGATCCATTTGGATTCATCAGCTCCAAACTTTGAGAAAACAGTTTTAGCATAGGATTTGACGCCACATAAGACAAATTCTGAATAATGCATAAAATAACCTCAACACCATGCAGTATCCTTCGTTAAACAGACCTTGGCCAACGCACAAGCAAAAAGGGGCAACTCAGATAATTATAAGGAGATGTGATTTTGCACAATTTGGTGTTTTTCCATCAAAACAAAAATAAGTAATAAATTGCAGGTTACTCACTCATGGATTCTGTCAACTTGGCCATTGCTGTATGTTTCTCTTTGTGCTTTTCCTGGGGGTAGAGGAAAAGACAAGACAATTACTTACAGAACTTGTCTTAGAATGAATAGGCTACAGCCATCCTTCCCTCCCTCGTGTGTTTTTTTTTTTTTTTTTTTTTTTTTTTTTTTTTTTAGGTCAGAACTTGAACGTCAGTGATTAAATGAATAAGGAAAATCTCGTGTTACAGTTATATTATCAACTGATGACTGCAAAGAGATTTTTAGAGCATGAAAACCCTTCCATTGCTCTTGGAAATGTGTGCCTGTCCCAGTGATCGCAGATATATATAATTGGTGACACATGACCAATTTTCAAAACCTCTTTGACACTGGATTTTTGACATCCATATGCCAGCTCTCTTGCTATTTGCCCTAGTTGAAGCTTTTTGGTATTTTTGGAGCTGGTATTTTTGCACTCATTTGATTTCCTTTTCCCAGAAAACTGAATGGGTTTTATACATCTCTCTTTATCTTACTTTCTTGGGTTCTTGAAGTCTTATGAAGGTTTTCACTTTTGGTGGGTTTATAACTTTATCTATTCTGGACTGAAAACACGCTTTAAGTGGGAAATAGGTTATAGCCCACGGAGTCTGAGAGCTGGAATGATACACAGAGAAATTGAGTTAGGGCTATTAAGGATAATATCTCTACTGAGAAGATCCTCTTCACTTTGGGTTTCTTTAGCTTCTTTGAATTTCTATGATGTCAGGTTTCTGAAATGTTGGTCACTATTGTTTCACTTTTTTTCAGCCTTGTTTTTTCTGACCATGAAACCAACATGTGCACATTATTTAAAAACTTCAGTAAATATTTTAACAAATTAGAAACATAAAAGCATGGTCTGTTCATAATGCTAACCCCTAGAAGAAATCACTGGTACACTTTGGTGAAAACTTACTTTCTTTCTTTTTTTTTTATTTAATGAGCATAAATTTCCAAAGTACAGCTTATGGACCACCCCCCTGTATCTTCCCTCCCACCCACAACGCTCCCCTCTCCACTCCCTCTCCTCTTCCCCTTCACATCATGATTAATTTTCAATTATCTTTATATACAGAAGATCAATTTAGCGTATGTTAAGTAAAGATTTCCACATTTTGCACCCACACTGAAACACAAAGTATAAAATACTATTTGAGTACTAGTTATAGCATTAATTAAACACCTAAGAGTAACTGTGTATTAATTACAGAGTTCAACCAATAGTTTTAAGTAGAATATAAAATGCATCTTTTGTATTGTTGTGGCTTCCCCCCCCCCGACTTCCCTCCCTCCCGTGGCCCTCCCCTCACCCACTCCCTCTCCCATCCCGCCCTTCATCACGTTTCATTTTTAATTACCTTCATATACTGAAGATCAACTTAGTGTATACTAAGCAGGGATTTCAACAGGTTGCACTCACACAACCGAACCAGGTATAGGGTATTGTTCGACTAGTAGTGTTGTTTTTGAGTTTCATAGTTAAACATATTAAGGACAGAGATCCTGCGTGGGGAGCATGAACCCAGTGACTCCCGTTGTTGATTTAACAATTGGCACTCTTATTTATGATGTCAGCAATCACCCGAGACTCTTGCTATGAGCTGTCTAGGCTATGGAAGCCCCTTGAGTGGTGAAAACTTACTTTCTAAACCCATTTCTATATCTGTGAATATTTACAGCCATGGAAATATGAGCCCGTTTTTATGAACATAAATGTCTATACTATCCACACAATGTTGTAAGGCACTTTTTCGCTTAACGCCGTATCATACACCTTTATTGTGTCAGTAAAGAATGAAATCATGCCCTCACTTTCAGTGACCACATGGTGTTCGTCATGAGTCACAACCAGATCCCAGTGGATTTATTTGCAGCTTTCACTGTTTTATTAAATACCATGATCAGCATCCTTGAACGCACATCTTTGTGCACTTGTCCCGTTACTGAGGACAAAGCCTAAGGTTAGACGTGACTTGGTCAAACCATACAAGTATCAAAAATGTTGACATGGATCACCCAATAGTGCCCCCTAAAGGCTGCATTTGGCATAGTTTAAAAGTGTTTCTTTCTTTGCATTATGCATGACATTAATACTACACTCCCACCCTACACTTCTCACCCCTAATATTTGACCAACTGATAGATCAAAAGGGCTGGCGCTGTGGTGCAGCGGGCTGAGCCACCACCTGCAATGCCGGCATCCCATACGAGCGTCAGTTCAAGTCCCAGCGCCTCTGTTTCTGATCCAGCTCCCTGCTAATGCGCCTGGAAAAGCAGCAGAGGATGGCGCAAGTATTTGGGCCTTTTCCACTCACATGGGCAACCCAAATGGAGTCCCAGGCTCCTGGCTTCAGCCTGGCCCGGCCCTGGTCATTGGAGCCATTTGGGGAGTGAACCAGTAGATGGAAGATCCCTCTCTTTCTCTGTCTCTCCCTCTCTCTCTGTCACTCTGCCTTTCAAACAAATAAATAAATCTTTTAAGAAGCAGTACCTTGGGGCCGGCACTGTGGCTCACTTGGTTAATCCTCTGCCTGTGGCGCTGGCATCCCATATGGATGCCGGGTTCTAGTCCCAGCTGCTCCTCTTCCAGTCCAGCTCTCTGCTGTGGCCTGGGAGGGCAGTGGAGGATGGCCCAAGTGCTTGGGCTCCTGCATCCTCATGGGAGACCAGAAGAAAGCACCTGGCTCCTGGCTTCGGATCGGCGCAGCGCCGGCCGTAGCAGTCATTTGGGGAGTGAACCAATGGAAGGAAGACCTTTCTCTCTGTCTCTCTCTCTCACTGTCTAACTCTACCTGTCAAATAAAAAAAACCAAAGAAATAGTACCTTGTTATTTTATACTGTCATTTTTCCTCTGAACAACCGCAGTGACTCCTCATAGGAGTGCCGCCTTGTTTACTCCTATGTGTTGTAGTGTTCCAGCTTTCCTACCACCAGCATTCTGAGCTCCCAGAAGCCCAGGTGGCATCTGTGCCTCCCCATGGCCCTAGCCCAGCTGCTTGCGTCTGAGCTGTCACCAGGTGGGCACTGTAGGACAGTGGAGCAAACCATGTCCACCTGCTCGTGACGCTACTCTCAAACTAGGAGGGTGGGCTTTTTTAATTTTTTGACAGGCAGAGTTAGACAGTGGGAGACAGAGAGAGAGACAGAGAGAAAGGTCTTCCTTCCGTTGGTTCACCCCCCAAATGGCCCCCATGGCTGGCGCTGCGCCGATCTGAAGCCAGGAGCCAGGTGCTTCCTCCTGGTCTCCCATGCAGGTGCAGGGCCCAAGGACCTGGGCCATCCTCCACTGCCTTCCTGGGCCACAGCAGAGAGGTGGACTGGAAGAGGAGCAACCGGGACAGAATCCGGCGCCCCGACCAGGACTAGAACCCGGTGTGCTGGTGCCACAGGCGGAGGATTAGCCTAGTGAGCCACGGCGCCGGCCTGTGGAGGGCGGGCTTTTACTGATGGCAACAAACAACTCTGTACCTCACGAGTATTCTTGATTTCCACAAGTCCTGTCTTCACAGCAATGCAATCAGGACACCACCTGACCCTTGAGAACAGAGGTGCTAAGGGACTGTGACCTAGCGACCCGTGTGCTATGACATTTAGTCTGCTGCACGGTTTATACTGAGATGCTGAAAAACAGCATGGCACAGGCCAGTAGAGAAGCTAAGAGAATCACGCAGCAGAGACAAATAAGGCAGGCAAAGAGGAGCTGTCACAGAAGCGGTGTCACCGACAACTCAGCAGCTCCACGGCAGGAAAACCGTGGAATTCAGCCTTGACTTGCAGGAGCCTCGTCCCTCCTGGTTTGCTCTGCCCTCCGCTCCCCATCACCTTGCAGCCCAGCTCCGCACACTCTCGCCTTGTACTGTGGCCTATGACCTAGTCTTCCTTTACCTCGTGGCTCCGAATCCATCAGTCCTCACTCTGAATCAATGGCCTCGTTAGGTCGGCCTTTCCTCTGAAGGCCAGAGCAGTGAGACCCCCTCCAAAAACAAGCACCCAGACCGCAGCCCTGCACCTTTAAAACCCTGTACCAACTCTGTCCACCCTGTGGGTGTCACCGCCTTACCTCTGCCACCCCAGGATCCTGCCACGGTTTGGAGCCCGTCTAACCGGTGGGTGGTCCTTGCAGCCCTGGTGGACATTAGAGTCCTATTTGTCCTGGAGAAGGCCGGTCCTGCCGGCCCCAGCCTTCTTGTCCTTCCTGGAGTCGAAGGAAAGTCTTCTGACACCGAGGTGGGAGGGGTGCCGTGAAACCCCAAGTGTAGCTCTCTCAGACTGACTCATCCATAGCTTAGCTTATGGTGGGAACCAGCACATAGGTTTTGTGTAAGTGGTTTAGTCATTCTACGGGATGGCTTCAACTCCTTCTGTCCCTCCTCATTATCAGAAGGCTGACGCTTGCAATTGCAAGGCGCACACACCCCGCAAAACATTTGCATTCCACTCCTGGTCCCGAGCGGGTTCTCCTCTTTATCCTACAGCCAAGAGTCTCCTCCATCGTACGTTCTCTGGGTGTGGATTTACATGGCTGAGAAGAGATTTTTGAATTAAAGCTGCAAGTACTTCTTTCAGAGACTGTCAAGTGCAACCCCCGAGCGACAGAGCTGATGAGACAGAAGCTGGAGAAGAGAGTGGCATTCCAAGGAAGGGATTTGCGTGGAGCCACTGGCTTCCTCCACGCACAACCTCCTCTCCCCGAGATCTCGGCGCCCAGCACGCCTGAGTCAAGATTCCTGCAGTGGTCCCAGTGCACTGTTGACGTCCATAGACACGCTCTGTCCCTTCTCCAAGAAGTCCCCTCTACGACCCTGATATTTCACACGTGGTGACTCTGGCCCTGCCCAGCGTGGTCTGTTTATGGGACTGTTCATACGGCCTCCACTTGCCTCCCCCTGCCTCACGGCCTCACCTGCGGCCCTGCAGGGTTATCCTGAATTGCCCCGGAGCATAACAGAGGCACCGCTCATTGAAATCGTCCGCTCCCTAGCACGTAGGATGGAGCGCTCACCTTCAGCTCTGTCTTGTCTGTCCACA